AACAGGATGTCGGCGTGTAAACTGTTGACACGGGACGCCCGGAGCGCTCGCAGGACGTGGCGTCGGGCCAGAGAGGAGAAAGGGAGACGAGGAGGAAGGAGGGAGGGAGAGAGGGAGGGCACGTCAGTGTACAGTGCACTGTACAGTGAATGGAGAACAGCCTCCGTCCATCTGGGCACAGTTTGGAGCTTTGAGCTGAGTTTATCCTACAGCATCGGAATGGCTGGCATTCCACAAAGCAGGATTCTGTTTTAATGTAAACTAAAGGTCAGATGGTTTGGAAAGCAATTCGGAACAGATCATAACTGCAGTAACATCATTGGAAACGGAAACAGTTTCATTTAAACCTTTTCGTTAAATTAACTGACCACTTGTATGTTTTGTGCACGTTGTATATGCAAAAAGTGTGAATTAAACAGCAGAACGGTGTAAATAAAGCAAACTTTGAAATGAAAAGAAAACTTATTAAAAGAAACATGAAAAGTTTATAAAACTAAAAAATTAATATAAAGGAATGGAAAAGTTGATGAAGAAACTAAATATGCAAAAAAAATCTATAAAAGAAATAAATGTAGTGTAATGGATGATCATAGATAAGGATGATTAAAAACAGGTCCTCAAGTTGTAATAAAATCTTAATAAATAATTGAACCTAAATATTGTGATGCAAATGTCCAAAAGTCTGTGGATTTCTTCCTAAATGAAGGGTATTATTAATGATTATTCATTAGTAAAATAATGCAAAGTTTTGTTTTTAACCAAGTTTAATGTTCTTCCTTAGGATATTTACATCATACAGGTGTTCTTTAAACTTAAAAAAAACAACAACAAAAAAAAAAAACCTAATTTACCGAAATCTAGACTGAAAATAGAGCTGGGCGATATGGCCAAAAACATTATCACGATAAACAAAATTCATATCATTCGATATCGATACATAGCGCAATAAATGTCACATTTGAAGGCTGATTTTGCTCCTGGGTGGTTAATTGTGGTTTTAAACTATCACTTATGGTCCGATCATGACAAACACTCGGCAAACAGTGGAACATTTCACACATCTGTCTTGGGACAGTGGGAGAAAGTTTCTGAGCTGTTTTTATCAGCTGGAAAAGCACAGCTGCAATTTTTGTAATAGTCATGATTTAATAAAGAAAACAGATTATTTTAGCTGTCTGGTGTCGAGCGCTCGGCTACCCCGCTACAAACGCTAAACAAGTGGCCAACAACAGCGCTAAACTCTTTAGTTTCTCAACAACGTCAACTCGGTTCGGTAGGTCACTGCTGTCACTCCTACCACATCCATGTCGGAGCAGATCACAGTATTCAGACACCAGCTAGACGACTGGGTTTCTCTATGTTATCGCAGTAGTTTAAGGGGTGAACCGCAGTATATCTGACGCTCGCTGTGTAAAAGCGTTATCTGCAGTGTGAATCTCTCACACCAGTCACAGAGTCCTCCTTTTAGGCATGTTTAAACTGAAAGCGGTGATTTTGTGTCTTGTTTGATCTACAGTATCATCAATTCACCGTGTTGTGCCGGAGCGCTGCTTCAAGTTAGCCAGCAGCTAAAAACAGCTAGCCTGGAAAGACAGCGCTCTCCCGCTCTCCAATGCCTCACAGCTTCCTCAGTTTACTTTCGAACATGAACCACTTCTTTCTTTCACTTTCGTTGCTCGAGAATGCACTAATACTAAAATATGGCAGTTTGGCGCTGTAACACGGCGCTGCAGACGTGATTTAACACCGCTAAAGTTGTTAGGATGTACAGAAAGAGGTGAGTTCGCTGTAGGTCAGTACAGTTACACCACTGACCTCGTCACTCACACTCGGTCACAGGAGAACAGATCGCCGGTCGCTCCACTCAGACAGGGACTGTCTAACTCCGCGTTTCAGCCATTGCTAAAGTATATTTGGCGACCCTTTTTTTACTCGTGGCCCCCTCCCTCTCTAATCAAGTCGAAAAATTTGGAAGTGCGCCCTCTCCTGGCGACAGCAGAGTAGTGTCGCTTTCCTTGCAGTAGAAAACGCCACCAGGGCTTTCGCTAAAACGTGGAAGTGTGAGAATGGTGTATTATATCGAACATTTATCGAACCTGTCTTATCGCTCTATCGAGGAAAAGTTATATCGCGATACTTATCGTTATCGTTTTATCGCCCAGCCCTAACTGAAAAGTTTTTATATAAAAACCAAAAGCCCTTTTTGGCACTTTACAAGCGCCTTCCTGCGCTGGGATTGGACCATTACCTCATGGATAATGTGTAACTTAACCAGTCAGCTTAATTAGTTAGATTTTGTTAGTTAGATTCCTGTTTACACTGTTTACACACCACACTACCTCTTTAAAGGGGAAGTCCACTGACTTTTCAAAAATTCTCGATTGACAATTAATTTAAATAAAAGACAATTAATATGTAAGATGTACACAGAGTCTTTCAGAGTGGTTTGGTGTGAAACACTCCGTTCTAGAGAAACTTACCGAGTCAGAATTGTTCAGAGTGGTGGTGAAAGGAACCAGACGTCCACCTCTAAAAGCTCCCTCACAGAAAGTTACTACATGAAATGGTTATGAATTCACTGCCTGATGACCGAGGCACTGTTTTATGATAGTTTTCAGAGAAACCTTTTGCAGTACAATGTATATTTTTATCCATTAATGCTACATGCAGGAGTTAGTTTTTGAATTTTTTATTTTTTATTTTTTTTTCTTCGGATATAACATTATTTTACTATTATTGTCTTTACATATAAAGCTCAGAAGACTCGTGTAGGTTCACTGGTGGTTTTGGATAGTAAATAAAATGTCTATATTTGTGTTGTAGTCATGGCGACCCCTGGTTCCTATCACCACCACTGTAAAGACATCTGAACCATTTCACACCAAACAACTCTGAATCACTCTGTTTACATCTCACACACTGAATTAAGCAGAAATTTTGAAAAAAGCGACTGTATGGCAGGTTTCCAGGGCTTCTGCTCTGACACAGTAACGCAGTGAGGCCCCCCTCCGCTCGCTCCGGCCTGTCCTCCTACAGTCCAGGAATACCTACGTCTTCTCCAGGCTGCCCCGGGCCATAGCAGCTGCCTTCTCCACGCTTTCATTTAAACGCGAGTGGTCTGAAAAGAGCCTTGCGAAAAGCAGCAGGAGTCAACAAACAGAGTCCATGTTGTTTTACTGCCTCGGCTGCGATGATGTCATGCAGTCAGAGGAGGGGAAAATGAGTTCCATCTACACAGAAGGACCAGATCCTGTATTTACTACAGCGAGCTGGACACGGATCCCTGCCGTTCACATGTATGTTCGCCATGTGGTTCACACATGCATGCAAATGTAGCATCTTGCAGTGCTTTTAGAATTTGCTGGAAGAAGCTGTTACAGCTATAGCAAGAACGCATTTCCCTTCACACACAAGAACAGGCGTGCACACCCGCAGCCCTGCAGCTAGTCAACAAGTAGTGATCAGAAACATGTTCACACCCTGCAAAATGGCTCCAAATGTAAAGTTCATTTCCTGCTTTTTTGCTCAGTATTAAAGGAGCTGCTTTTTTAGCTATAGAGTCTTGTATAAATGAACTGTTGACAGGTAAATAAAGAACACCGTCATCTTTACTGAGAGATTTTTGCCTTTTTGTGTTGGATTGGATTAGAATGGGACTAAACTGGGGGATTATGACATTATCTGACATTATGTGGTCCCTCCTACCCTGAAGGTTCTGTGCAGGTTCATTCATCAAGGCACAAACACTGAGTGTGTTTACATGCACTTAATAATCCGATAACTGCAGAAAATCAGATTTTGTCAGTAATCCAGTCAACACGTTTACATGCACTAATACTGATACTGATAATGGGGAAACTCCAGGTCTACATGAGTCAGACAGTAATCAGATTTCTGCTTTGCAACCAGCTAATAAGCTCACAGAAGAAGACGTGATGTAAACATAATGTAAAACTTTATTTATTTATTTTAAACATTGCATCACTTTAGCTGAAAATATGAACAAACATCATCTAGAAGATGAAGAACATTTAAATCCTTTATTTCGTGTTTGGTTTCAGCGCCGCTCCAAAAGTGTTCGATGCGTCTCGCGACATCCACCGTCTGATCTCGTGCATGAGAACAGAGAAATCTGAAAGAAATCAGAGTAAGAGTTCACATGCACTGACAAATCTGATTACTGAGCTAAAATCAGCCTCTTTATCAAATTCCTAATCGGATTTCTAGATCGGAGTATGGTGTTTACATGACCTTTTGAATAATCAGATAACTGCAGAAATCTGATTATGATCGGATTATTGCGTGCATGTATACGCACTCAGTGTAAATGTGCCCTCAAAGGTACAACACTGGTTTTAAGCTCCAGATGTGTGCCTTAAATAAAGTTTTCCCAGTGAAAGGTTTGTGTTTGAACCTTCTTATAACTTAATGTTTTAAAACAGAACAGTAACAATTGACAAATTAACAGCTCTTTAATGTTATACTTTCTTGTATTTAAGAACCATGAAATGTCTGTTTGGTCAGAGTTTGCTATCTGTTTAGTTCAAAGAAGGAAGCACAGTAAGACTACTGCAGCCGTCTAAAAGTTATCACACACCTGTTGTGTATTGTCACCCTGTTTTTTTTGGGCAGTGTTGGCAAAGTTATTATTTTAATATTTTCCCATAGTTACAGCAGCCACCCTGGGTTGAACATGACCTTACCGCCATCAATCGAACTATCCTGAACACGTTTTGACTATATGGCACCTTAGTCTGGGTCAGGGATGGGGAACCGAAGGCCAGAGTCCAGCACAGTTTGTTGGTTTCCTTTCTCTAGCAGGCCAGCCCAACCGGGTAATAAACAATGAGTTGAGCTGTGTGCTTCATTAGGAAACCACCAAACTGATTCTGGGGCTGGAGTTCTCCTCTGGAGTTCCCCAAGGTGGAGAATCCCTGATGGATTGATGCTTTAAGCAACAAGATAACCATTCTTCTTTATTTCACTATCTGCCGTTTCAGGTGTGGGAGCAGACCCCAGCAGGCCTCCGTGTCGAAAAGCGAAGGATCTGCGGAAAGAACGGCGGCTTCAAAAAGAGCAGCAGAGGCGCCAGGACGGAGGCACCTTGACGAGTCCAAACCCGACTCCTTCGAACCCAGCGTCCAGTCAGCCCAAAACCGTGGAAGAATTCATTGCAGACTCGCTACCCGATGACGCCGTCCATCGTCTAGAGGTTAGAAGTTGCACAGAGTCATATTACAGTATCACAGTGTCCACCATGCAGCACATTTTCATAATAACACAGAAAGCAAGATCGGACGCTTGAAGAAACTGAAGTAGTAAACCTCTGTGGCTCTAAACAGGCCACTCCTCCTATTGTCCAGTGTCCTTTCTTGCTTTTGCTGGAATTGCTTGGGTGAGGTCAGCATAGGTAAAGAGTCGCCCTTTGTGCTTTATAAGCAGCGCTGTATGAAAACATCTTATGCTTTGCTTGTCTTTGTCCCTTGAGACACCACAAGCGAGGCTCATCTCTCAGTGAGCTAATCTCTTCTGGACTTGCCTGATTGGATTTGATTGACTGCAGTATGTCATTCAATTTTCTTAAGTGGACAGCGGGCAATGGCAGCCTCATTTGAGCGAGCTTACTGATGCACTTTTGGTACTATTGTTTACTCCGTAATACAACGTGCTGATTTCAGAATCGTCAAGGATCGTCTCACAGGGTTCGAGGGGATCCTTAAAACTTTTACAAGGTCTTGAAATAGATTTTTTTTACAAAATTAAGCTCAAAATGTTCCTGAAAATATCCTATTTTTTGCCATTAGAAGCGTTCAGTTCTAAGATGATGCCTAAAGATGAGGCTGAAAACATTTCACGCAAATTCATCAACCAAATGCATCCAGAAACAGAAACTGACCACTGATGAGGGCGTGAAGGACGGCAGAACCGATAACAAAGTCAAACACAAACTGAAAGGCAGTGCAGCGAAAGGACAGCAGTTAGTGGAGCTGAATGGGAAAATTGAGAAGACAAGTGGTGACTACAGTGCAGCAACATATCTCAAAGCATTTGTCCACATTTCAGTTTCATCCGGTCTGTTTCAGTAAAATATACTAAAAAGACGGTTCTTTAAAGGTTCTTTAGCAAAGAAAATGGTTCTATAAAGAACCATGAACACTCAAAGAAGGGTTGTTTGCATCATAAAAGGGTTCTTCAGAATGTGCAGTAGATAGTTCTGTATAGAGCCTTTTAGAAAATGGTTCTATATAGCACCCAAAAGGGTTCTTCTATTGTTGCGATGTCAAGTTTGTAACCCTTCTGGGTTCTTCTATTGTTACAAAATGTTATTTCTAGCACTTTCTAGCAGCCAGAGTTCTCATGTATCACTGTTCACTCTTTATTAGGCCAAACTGACATTTGAAATTTGTAAATAAAAAATCAGTTGCCTCTAAATCATTCATTACTAGACTCGCGCTCTCAAGGTAAATGAATTCGTGGGGTTACCCAGATAAACTTGGTGTGAAACTGTTACCAGAAGTGAATTCCTTTTTCACGTTTACAGTTTCTTACCCATTCAAGTGAATCAGCTTTTTTGCCAGGCCAATTTTACTTGCATTTAGAGTGACCACAGCTTTATGCTCACTGTGTTTCATATATAGATTATTGTGTGATGCAAAAAAATGCAAAAAATCAACATCAGTTATTAGCTATTTTAGTTGTTTTTTGAATTTTTGAGACCTTTTTAAGTGTTAAAACGTTATTTTGCAAAAATAAATAAATAAATATGTGTGTGTGTGTGTGTGTGTGTGTGTGTATATATATATATATATATATATATATATATATATATATATATATATATACACACACACTTTGGATGGAAACTAAGTATGCTAAGTAGCTGCAGAGTTAGTTAAGCACAGAACCTTCCTATTTTTTAAAACTGCATTTCACATGAATGGTTTTACGATAATTGCTGTGTTTACATGCAAAGATTTTTGCCAATCTGGTGCAGAACCACTTAGTGTAGACGTTACCATGACTACCAGCATCACGTGAGTCCAGTCAGAGTGAGATGAGCAGCAGTGAGCAGCGCTTGTGTTTTTAATTGCTTTAAAATGATGTCAGACTCAGGAAAACGTCCTTCACACGTCCTTATTAAAGAAGGCCGAGAGGAAGACGTCGTGTTCTGAGACACATAAGCTGGACGTCCGTCCCACCGCCGTCTTTTAAAGACCAGAGCATAAACTTCGTCTCCTCTGCAGACCAGTTTCTGCTCCGCCATGTTGAACGGTATAAACTTTCACTATGACTCGACGAACATGATCAGAACGGACTTAAACTTTCCGATAGGGAATGTAATCAGATACAGGCGTTTACACGGATATTATTCTTCTGTTTAACAGATTATTTACAGGATTACCCACCTCGATCAGTCAGATAGAAACTGTATTCCGAATGGCCTCAATAAGACTAAACTATTCTGATTGAGGTGTTTACATGAACGTGTTATATTCCGATTGCGCTATTAGTCGGATTATTAACTGATTTATAGGATGCATGTAAACATGGCTATTGATACTCAATTCTATATAAAGTAACTGCTGAAATAGCAATATTTTACAGTATTATACTGCATCTTGCATCAAGTTTGTCACTTTTCTCCTTCACTTCAGCGGGATTGTTCCAAGTTAGCCAAGAAATTTTATATTAAACAACCCAAACAATTTTAATAAAGGCTTAATAAAGTCCCCAGTGTCCCCTGGAGGGTCACTTCATGCCTTTCATTTAATTTCCTTTAAATCCCTCCTGTGTGACCACTCAGGTACTGAAAGCCCTCAGTGGCGTTCTGGAGCTCTTTGACCCGATTCAGCTGAGCGCTGTTACACTGCAGTCCTTCCAGTGTGTCCGTACGAACCCGTCACTGCTTTACAGAACGGAAGCGGAGGAGTCTGTGCTGCTCTGTGATGTATCGCACACTTCCTCTCCAGCCCTGTCTTCACTTTATCAGCAGTGCGTTTGGGGTCGAGCGAGTATTCTGGGAAGCTGCCGGAGGTCATTAAGCCTGGAGAGAGTTGAGTGAGGTGACTCGCTGCTCCAGCCTCTTAATGAGATGTTTATACATGTGCAAATCAACCCCACTCGGAGTGCACTTTATCATATCAGCAGCGTGAAAACTTACACTCACAAATTAGAGGCAAGTTTTATAAAGGACTGTTGTTTTCAGGGGAAATATTTTTTAATCAGGTTTGCAGTAATGTTCTCATCCATATTGAGAAACTGATGATAGTGAGCGCTCGCGGAACACGCAGCCAAGTGAGCCTCAAAGGGAAGGTCACTAAGTTTTTACAATTCTTACAACAGAGTAAGAGTTCATTCCTACGACGGCGTTTTAGGGCCACTGTTAATAAAAATAAAAATAGTAGACTTAATGAGAATAAAGTCGTACTATTTTGAGAAAAAAGTCGTACAGTATTATATTTTGAGAATAAAGTCATAATATTTCCAGAAAAAGGTCGTAATATTTAGAGAAAAGAGTTGTACTATTTTGAGGAAAAAAGTCGTAATATTTCGAGGAAAAAAGTCGTAGAATTACGACATTAAAGTGGCGTTAATACCAGGAAAGGTTGCAGTATTGTGGCCAAAGCCTTTGCGAAGTGAAGCAGCACCTCCTCGTGTTAAATGAGGGGCGGTGAGTTGGTGGAGTTCTACTTTCATATCGATTCACCCATAAAGAAACACTCAGTCTCCCTGTCTCTCCTGCACATCAGCACCAGCCTGTTATTAGTATAAGAACCGGCTGAAACGGCTGAGCAGGAAACTGTGTTTATCTAGAATAAAGAGCCAGACGGACTCGGAGGAAACTGTCTGTCTGCGTTGTTGAAGGAGAATCTCAGGCAGGGTCGTCTACACGGCTATCGGGGGCTACATCTCCCCCCATTCAAAGAGGGCATGAAGTTTCACAGACAGTGAGAATGATGATCAGAATGATCCACAGAGAGACAGGAGTGAGTGGAGCTCCGGCGCCAGTACAGCAACCGAGACCCCAACGCGTTATGGCAGCCCCCCTACAGTCAGCCCCCCCTACAGTTAGACCACTTTACCTTGTAATATTAGGACTTTATTCTCAAAATAGTACGACTTTATTTACAAAATATTACGACTTTATTATCGAGGTCTACTGTTTTTATTTTTATTAACAGTGGCCCTAAAACGCCGTCGTACATTCTTGGCTTTGCCTCAAGAGTTTCAGCGTTTTGACCTTTCAGTAGGGGCCGATCTGGGTCATAATTTAGGCTGCTGTTTGGTCTGCACTTCCGTTATGTTAACAGCCTGAAACTCAGGACATGGAAGCAGTTCAGCAGCTGCCAGCTGTGATGGGCTTTAGGATAGAGTTTCCATTGACTTTCTGCACAGATTCCATGTGATAAAATGAAAATGTGTAGAAAAAAATGCGATTTTGGCAGCTTTTTTTCCATCGCACTGACTTTCGTGATCAAAAATCATTTTGCTACTGATAAGGACAATCAGCCTCATTCACCAAACGTTCTTAAGAAGAAATTTCTTTTTAAAACCCTCTTACACAGTTTTCTTATGTGGGATTTGTTCTTAGGTAAGAACAGAATCTACACACACTCAAGAAGGTGAGAACAGTTCTGCGCTTTAGGAACACGTCATGAATCTAACGTAGACTTTTTTTTAGGACCTTTCTCAAGAACACTCTTAAGAACAAACTTACGGAGGCCGATTCTGTTAATTGTATTTTATTTTAGTTATATTTTATTTTCGTTGGAACCTTTACAGGAGAGATGACATTATGATTATTATTACAAGCTTGACATCATAAAAATAGAAGAACTATTTTTGGTGCTTTTCAAAAAAGTCTATATAGAACCTTCTACTGCACATTCTCCATCAATCTGAAGAACCATTTCATGATGCAAAGAACATTTTAATCATGCAGGAGGTTTTTTGAGTGTCCATGGTTCTATATAGAACCATTTTCTTGACTAAAGAACCCTTGAAGAACCATCATTTTTAAAAGTGTAGACCATCAGTATCATGTTACACTTTACAGATTACCAGAAATAATGCAGTAGTTCCTTTAAGTGATTATTCAGTTTAATCACATCAGCGCAGGACAGCAAAATATAGGGAAAACGAAATCAAAGCCAGCGTTCAGAAACATTTAGCAGACAAGAACTAGAAGCGATGGTGGAGAAAATTCCTTAGTTTATTGGAACGATTATTAATATTTTGTGAAACTCATTAGAAGTCACAGTTAATTCTTACAGTCCAAAGCCCTATTTGGACAGGATTAGTTTTCCATGGGAAGGTGGGTGATGCCAGTTTACCACAGGGTGTCTGTAATGTTTACAACGAATTCGTAAGGGATAAGAAATCTCAGTATAAATTACAGAAATGGAGGGGCGTCTCGATTTACGCACCACCTTTACCCCACAAAACATGTCAAAACATTTAATGTAGCCATCAGTACATTTACCCTAACCAGCCACCTCGCTGTCTTAAGTGAACGCAGTGCGCCGTTAGCATCACCATTGGCTTAGGAATTCACAGTAGTCAGTCAGGTTCACTGCATAAAATCAGTAATAATAACAAGTGCAATATATAGAGTGCCTTTCACAAACCCAAGGATGCTTTACAAAGAAGAGGGACACTGAAGAAGAAGAGTAGTGAGCAGTAAAGAAGAAGGTTTTTATTAAACTTTCTTCTGTATTTTTTCCTTTCTGGGTTACACATCAGCTTGATTTTGGCCACGGAGAACACAAATAAGCACTTCTTTGAGCCTCCATGCTTGAGAAATCCTGTTTCCACAGGACATGATGGCATTTTTCACCAACATGTCCATTTGCCCAGGATTTATATAACCTGAGTTTATTTCTCCTGCTCGTTTACTAGAAAGTAAAATGCGGCAGAATCTTTACTAAAGCAGGAGCGCACAGACTGACTGACATTTGACTGACATGGTCAAGTCAAAGTTTATTTATATAGCACTTTTTACGGCAGGTGTTGTCACAAAGCAGCTTTACAGAAAAATCTGGGTTCAAACCCCCATGAACGTCGCCAATGGCAACAGTAGCAAGGAAAAACTCCCTAAGAGCAAGAGGAAGAAACCAAGAGGAACCAAGACCCAGAAGGGGAACCCATCCTCCTCTGGTCGACACCGGATAGGAAACAGTGTTAGTATAAAATATTAGTATACAAAACAGGGGAAAACAGGTGGAGCAACGGTTAATTAGATAGTTTGAGTTTATGCAGCAGCAGCACATCGTGCACTCGGACAGGACTAAGGTCACTGAGAATCGCCAGTAAAAATTACATTACCCACCATGTAAAACTAATTCGTCTGAATAGGGTTTAAGACAGGTGTGAGAGTCATAAGGTTAATAAAATGTTTAGGAACATATTGTTTTCTATTTTTCCACTTGTTTTTAGTGTTTTAAGTAAATTCTTAAGAAGCTTTTTGAAGTACAAGAATAATTTAAATTTACATTTTTTAAGCAGTCAAGAAAAAGGGCACGTTTAAGATTTTCTCAGAGACACTTTTGTGAAATCATCCTCTGATCATGGAAACACTGATTTCTATCTAGATAGGAAAACTAGCCCGAGATAAACAGGATTAAAAGGTAGTTTGAATATAAAATGGTACTAAATCTATTCTGATCTACAGTCCCTGCTCAATAAGAACACTTCAAATTCTGAAGTGTTGTTAAGAGTCTTCCGAAAAATGTATGTATTTAATGAGCTTTAAATAGTTCTTTAGTGTCAGTGAGTTGGTTTAGATATCATTTTCTATCGTTATATGATATGCATTATTCCAAAGCGTCCTCCAGGGGGCAGTGTAAGTACACCAAAAAGCCTCTTCATATCCTTTTTTTGGTGCTGGCCTTTCTAAACACTGCTTTTGTCCTCATTCTCCCGCCTTCCATCAACCCCTCCTGGGTATATGAAATCTCAGTCCTGTTATGACACGACTGAGCTCCTCGCCACGTCTTGGTTGGTCCTCATGTTCTTAATCAAACACCAGAGTTCTCAGGAGAACCGGCAGGCAGCTTAAAAGATGCTACTTATGTTTATCTCAAACAAAAGTCACCACTATCCTTATTACCACAACACTGACTGGGCCAAGTTTTAATATAAGAAGCCCAGTAGAAGCCAAACACAATAAACCTCCTGTTAATAAAGTTCAGTTTTCCCATCATGCTCAGTTCAGGGGACTTGAGAAGATCATGCACCTCATCCAACAAAAACCTGATGGGAGTTATTTTAATTAGAAGCAGGTTCTGCCAGTCAATTGGCCATTTTAGCAAAGTTGTTTCAGTCTTTTGAGACCAAGACTGTCTTATATTAGAACACAACACACTGCACTTGAACCTGTTTTTAGACGTCCGAGCTTATATTCATCTAGTTTTAATGGGAATAATTTGAGATTTTATTTCATTTGACTTAATTATGAGGCTGGCATCATTTTTCTCAGTGCCATAAGAGTATTTTAAGATTTCAGCATTCATGAAAGGGCTGAACAATTTGGGGGAAAATATCTAATTATGATTTTTCTGATCAATATTGTGATTACGATTTAAATACAATTATTTTCTATAAATTAATTTCCAGGCCTGTTTTTTTTTGGCAAAGAAGACCAAATATCCACTTTTTCTAGCATGAATCTTGAACATTGTGTGCATCAGACTACCAGTTAGCTGTGATGTCACATAGGCTACGTTCACACAGCAGGTAAAAGTGGCCCAAATCTGATTTTCTCACCAAATCTGATTTTTTTTTTTTGTTTGGCTGTTCAGATCATCTTTTAAATGTGATCTGTATCATCAGTCTGAACAGATCGGCTCCTAAACTGAGCCTCGTGTAAAAGAACAGAGCGTCACGCTGCTTCACGGCTCATCCAGAGGTCAACAATCACGACCGCCAACGAACGCCAGTCGCTCCCGGAGGATCAGCTTCATCTTCACCAGCATCACAGGAGCCATCATGAAGCTTCACTGGCTGACAGCTGGGCTCATCACCCAGAATGTGTTCAGACTGTAAAAAGGGCACATTATTCAGATTCGCCCAGTTCTTTGGTTCGTGTCCTCGGATTCTTTAAACTTCGCTATCAGACTTTTCCTTGGCGCTGCAGCCTCGTTCTCCTACGGTCGTGGTTGCGATAAGTGCCTTCTAATCTTTTAGTACAGAATCATCAGCCTAAATGTTTATGAGTCTCAGCAGCGCAAAATTATGACGATCGTTGAATTGGATTGACGTAAAAGTCGCATGAATTCCAATCTGGCTGTTCAGACTGAGTCACATTGCTGCATATCTGATATGTATCAGATTTCAGTACCACATATGAAAGCATCTCAAATCTGGGATTGAAAATGTCAGATTAAATATGTTTTTGCTGATCACACTCACACACATATGAAGATTCAGGCCACTTTTACCTGCTGTGTAAACAAAGCCATATACAGTTGCTTCTGATTGGTCTAACTCATCTACCGACAGTTCCTCACCTCTGTTATTAGGTTAAATTTCTACCATTTAAAACTTGTTAAAACAACATTGTTGATAATGCATTACATAATAAATAAGTCAGCTAATTATATATTATAACATAATATAACAGCAAATATAATTATAATAATTAGAGTTGTCTTAACAGGTTTTAAATGGATAAAATTGAATATAATGTAATGTATTATATAATACAAATTGCAGCTCTTGTGATTTTGAAAATTGCACTTTTTCAGATTGCGATTTCAATATAAAAATGATTGATCTTTCAGCCCTAATTCATAATACGTTTCTCAAACCATGAAGTTGACCTAAATCTTGCCTATGCTTGCTCTCACCCAACCAACTCAGGAGACTTCAAACACCACACTGACATAACTGAATATTACAGAGGTCGTACTTATTAAAGAAGGTTCTTTCTGTTGTTTACTCAACTGTGCAAAAGTCAGAGACCACGCTTCATTTATTTTCCAGTTATTTCCAGAAAAGCAGCCATTAACTACAAGTTTTACAGCTTCAGGAAGCAGAAAACACCCAGAAAAGTATACAGGAGCCTCAGCTGTCAGCTGTGAGTGTCAGTGAGTCACTCTTTCCCTTTGTTCCAGCTTCCATTCTTTTCAGGAGACTCACTTTCAGCTCCTCAAAGAATCTGCAGACACACCTCCAAAGTTCAGTCTTAGAAGCTGGTTGATCATTTTCTGAAGTAATCAAACACATTCAGTGGTGTTGAGGTCTGGACTCTGGGGTGGTCAGTCCATCGTTCAGCTTCTTTGTTTGGTGTGTCCGTCTCCTTTTCTCAGTGAGGTTCTTCTTGATCAGCTACACATCCTTTCAGACCCACAGCGCTGAGTCGTCTTCTCACAGTGGAAGGATGGACAGAAACACCTGTGGATGTTTTCAGATCTGAAGCAGCTTGATTTTCTCCTCTCTCTCAAAGATGAAAGCTTTAAGTGCTGTTTATCTGATGGGGGCAGTTTTGGTGTCTACCAGCTCTTCCAGGTGGTTGTTAGAAATCCAGTTTTCTCTGAAGCTTTTAATCATTTTTTGACCTCCAGCTTTGGAAACTTCTATTTTTTTCACTTATTTTTCTTTTCCTTATACAAGTGGATTATTATTATTATTTATATTTTTATTTTAAATATTATCTCAGAAGTAGCTCATGGAATATGAAATACTTAATGGCTGGAATTTGAATAAATGCGGGTCTCTGACTTTTGCACAGAACTGTATTTTTACTTTTTTTTAATTACCTATGCATGTGTGATGTCCTGAATTGAGATAATGTTGCATGGCTGATGTTTTGAGCTGTGATTTGCCTGGTCACTACTCTTTGCATCAAGTTCATTTCAGCTCAAGATATGTCTCATGCTCTTCAGATGATGGGCTGTATTTTCCTTTTTTGTTTGTTCTTGTTTCTCTTGATCTTTCTCTCCTCATAATGCACTTGCTCTTCTTGATAACCTTCTCCCGAAATGTCCTCTTTTGAAGGTGAGGCTAGTGCGCTCTTCGCCCCCCAGTCCGCAGTTCAAAGCTTCTTTCGACGCTTCTTACCAAGTGTACAAACTCTACCAGATGGCCATTCACCATGACCCGCCTGACAAGCCTAGCGAGAGCCAGGTCTGGTGTCTCCCAGCTTCCACTGGGCAGTGGGGTGGGATGGATAGTGCTCATCTTTTTAGTGGGTTGAAAGTTGGCACGCGTGACATGGCCTCCCTCGAAGTTTAGCCTACGGTTGCTGTTGATTCCAGTGACTGTCGGTCCTAATATTTGATGAGAGGGCTAAAAAATGAACACCTCTTATTTGCTTACACATTCAAGCATCACATTTGAGTGCCCCTTCCAGCTAAATGAATGAATTAGAATGATCACAGTTTATTTCACAGCAGGGTTTATCAGCCACAACATGAGCAGAACGTAAGATTTTAGTTCATTATAACTGAAGGACTCTGTAAAACAGCCGTCATAAAGTATATCTTACCTGGATTCTTTTACAAGCAGGTAAAAGCTCCAAATGTCTCTGTACAGCTGCTATAGCACCAGTGTCAGCATGATGCTAGACTAAAGGCCTCAGCAGACTTCTTGCGACGTTCATCTGGCGTAAGCGAACAATGTGACATAATTGAGGAGACAACGAACAACCACAGACGTCGGGCGGAAGCTTCGTTCGCCGTGTCGTGCACATGGCAGCTGGGCGAACTCCGTGGACTAGACGCTACGCGACGAAGCCTCTGATTGGTCGGTAAAAAAGAGGCATGCCTTTAAACAAAGATGGACAACTTTGAGGAGCTTCGGCTTTGGCAGACACACTAATATTTCACTGTGAAACGCTCATTTGTTAAATAAACAGTGAATATCTCCTAATTTTAAGACGTTAAGTCTGTTTTTTGGTGGTACTAACTAGTACTACGCACCAAAACATATAGGTTATCTTATATATAGGTTCACAAGCTATTCACCAGCTTCTTGTTTGAATTTTCCCGTTCCACCTTAAATGGTGGCAGTATTCTGAACTCAAAGGTGGCCATAGTTAGAACTGTGAAAAAATCTTTTTCCAGCAGCCATGAAACTTATCATAAAATGTCACAGCGATGTGGAGCATCCGCGACAGGCAACACCAAACCGCTGAAAGTATGCGAGCTTGTAAGCTTGCGAAGGCGCTTTCGGCTTTGCACAACCCTCGAGAACTTCGTTTCACAAGAAGTGTGCTGAGGCTTTAATACTGCAAATCCTGTACGGTGCCTTTTGGAAATAGGCGTTAATAACCGTAGTGTAAAAGAGATAAATACAGTCTTCTTATGAGTCAAATTAGACATTGCCATGTAATGACATTCTCACAATTTGACTGTATTTGACTGTAAACAAAATTATTTCATAAAGACTTCAAGCGTGTTTCAGCCAGTCGGATTCCAGAAATGACTGACTAGCACTGACTGCTGACTGCAGGAAGGCGCAGCTAAGCATCTTGGACTACATTTTATTTAATATTTAGTAATATCCCAGTAGTCCAGCTCAGATCTCGAGAGTCGAGGTCACTATTTTTAGGGAAATTGAGTTTAGTTGTTTTACTCAGTTCTAAAGTGTAAACATCAAACGAAGTGTCTGTTGAATGAACCTCGAGTTCAGCCTACAGCTCATTCAGCCGTTGCAAAGACTTGGTGGTGCAGCATCTGCCCACCTGGTCTCCACGGTAAAGACTGTGTTTGGAATGTGGTTGGCAATAAAACTAGTGGTTAACATTCGGTCTATTTGATGTAATTAATGTTTTTTCATGTGTTTAATAAAAATTTCCACTAGTGAGTTCAGTTTAAAGTCTGCATTAACTTAAAAATGAATCAAGGAAAGAGAGAGTTTAGTATTGTGTTGCTGACTCTTGATAGTCTCTGCCTTACTTGGGTTCCTGCTTGTTATGTCACTGGTTAGCAGTAGTTTAAGCATTAAGCGTTCATGATTACAATGTATAAAACACTGCTTTAACAAAAAAAAAGTCGAGACCCTGATATAAGGTGCAGTTAAAGCTGCACTGTGTAATTATTTCTTGTTGAAACTGAAAGAAGTGTTATTACTGAGTGAGGAGAATATAAACAGGTTGAATTATGGTGAACAGGAGCTGCTGCGAGTCGCCCTGTAAACCCTGAAATAATCATTTAAAAGTCAGAGGCGTCGGGTCGGGACTTCTTCACACCATATTGGTCGTCTTTATGTATTACGTACACAGTCATCACGTTCATCCGCTTGGGGAAGAGGCCCGAGGCACAACACAAAACGTTCTCCAGCACAATGCGTGCAATTCCACATTTCCATTGGTTTTCACGCAGAAAATGCACTACATTAAAGCACTTACTGGTTGATTTATACAATCCATATAAGGTCATTTTTAAGGTATTTTCAATGTGAAAATGTGCTGCTTCAGAGCCACTTGTTGCTCTCTTACTGTCCTGTTGTGGCTCCACAGCAGAATCAGATTCGTAGGTAAAAATAAAATAATCCTCCTTTACAGTAAAATAAAGCTCTGCTGATCGTTCAACACAGTTTAACAATAAATGGTCTTAAACTCTGGAGTTAACGTAGAACTGCTAATACGCCCTTTAACCCTGAAGATCAGCGCAGACTGCTGGTCACCATAGCAACACAGACAACAATCTGGTCTAGCTAGTAACTAACGAAAAGGCAAAGAAAGAGATTTAAGACAAACGTTGATAATTTCGAGATGGATACATTTAATCTGCAATGAGAAACTGTCAAACACTAAAAAGTCGCAAAGCTGAAGTCAGTTCCCTACTCGCCAGTTTTTCGTGAAAATTCGAACAAGAAGCTGGCGAATGGGAAACGACTTCAGCCTCGTAAAAAGTCAAACGTTGAGAGACATTTTACAAGAAACTGTTCTACTTTTGTGGAAAAGTTTCCTGCTGGAGATGCGAGAAAAGCAGCTATAGCTGAGCTAAATCTTAAAGCAGAGCAAAATAAATCTGTGTTATCGTTCATTATTATATTATTTATTATATTATTATTATATTTTTCATCCTATACTAGAACATTAGCGCACAGACACATTTTCAGCCAAGGTGGTAAAATGTTACTTCAATAAAAAGTGGCTCCCAAGATGGTTTATTTTTTGCTAGAAGAATGAAAACCGCTAGAAGAATAAAAACCAGTGTCCCCCCATTAAAACCTGTCTATTTCCTGCCCTGGTTACAAGTGCTCAGAGATGCGGGCTTGTTTAAAGAGGAGATGGTGAATAGTGCGTCGAGGAATGTGGTGGCTTGAGCGAAGGCACTCGAACGAAATAAAAGCTCAACACGGACAGCATGGTACACTGACGTTAATGAGAGCTGTCTGAACACAGACTGCAGCTAGCTGAGATGGAATAACCTGTTCAGATGAAGAGGAAATGAGGCAAGGTAGAAGCTGAGAGGAAAGAAAACAGAGATGCCGTTAGGTGTTTCTTGTGAATTTGCAAGCGAGAGACAGAATGAATAAAGTCCTCAGAAAGAGAAGAGAGAGAAGAAGGAGAAAAAAGTGGGAGGAAATGAGAAAACTGCTCCCATACGTCGGCAGGCGGTGTTTCTACAGGTGTCCTGGTGAAACGGGGAGGTCGTTACTCTCGAGCTGTTTGGGTTGTGGCGCAGGTATTTTACCTCCACCCCTTTTCTTGGGCCGCTCCAATAAACATCCATCTTCTCCTGCCTTCGGTCCGTCTGTGGAAGTGCTTCATCAGCGGTTCGGCTTGTTCAGTTTTGCTCCATTCATGAGCTACAAATTTAATTTTTCCTTGCAGCTGCACTGAGGCCACCTTAACTGCTGATCCTGTCTTGAGTTATTGATCCGAAATGTCTGTGTTTGTTATAGCTTTACATTAGCCTTGAGTTTTCTCTCGAATTCAGATTAAAGGGGCACGAGGCAGGTAATATTTCTGCATATCACCTCTAGGCTTGAAGACGAAGGTCCACACAGGGCCTCTTTTGTGTTCACCATCTTTCATATTATTCCTTGTCTTTTTTCACTTTCCTAAACACAGTTCAGCAAATACAGGTCATGTTTTAATAGTTAGAATGCTTGTTGAGACAACTGGAACAAGAAATGAGAAAATTCTAAAAGAAATTTCCATAGAATTTAATTAATGACCAACAATTTGAACAACAGAGCTTGCGGCAAAGTGTAAACAGTATGTGAAATGGCGGTAGGTAGGTAGACAGATAGGTAGACAGACAGACAGACTGACAGATAGATAGATAGATAGCAGGTAGATAGTGAGTGAGTTAGCTACTTAGTTACTTATACTTTGTGACTTATGTACTTGCATGCTTAAATACTTAGTGATGTAGTTACTTACTTAGATGCTTATTTAGTTATTTACTTGCATACATAGTTATGTAGTTAGATACTTATTTAGTTTTTTACTTAGATACTTATATAGTTAGTGAGGTACTTAGTTACTTACATAATTATTGAGTTACTTAGTTACGTAGTTAGTGACTTACTTAGTTACTTACATACTTAGTTGCTTGGTTAGATAATTAGTTACTTACCTAGATACTTACTTACGTAGTTATTTACTTCCATACATAGTTATGTAGTTAGATACTTATTTAGTTACTTAAATATTTAGTTTTTTTTACTTACTTAAATACTGACATAGGTACGTAGTTACTTAGATACTTAGTTACTTAGTTATTTAGTTGCTTAGTTAGTTACTTGCATACTTAGTTACGTAGTTAGATATTTACTTACTTAGGTGCTTAGTTTTTTACTTGCATAGTTTTATACTTAGCTACTTATTTAATTACTTGCGTACTTTGTTACTTAGTCAGATAGTCACTTACTAAGTTAGTTATTGGCTTAATTAGATAGTTACTTACTTACTTAGTTAAGGTTACTTTATTAATCCCTGGAGCGTAATTAAAGTGTTGTAGCGCCAGATATATGAAAATACAAACAACAGGTACATGAGGCTAAGAGGAATAAGCAGTAAGACAAGTGAGTGGGTAAGTGGGGATGCTGACTTGTGGTCCAGTTATAAATAAAGGACAGATGAAGGCATCAAGTGCTGAAGCTTAATTATATCCAGGTACAATCAGAACTCCAACCCTAATAATGTCCTAACATGGTAGAAATGTGGC